TGGCTATTTCATGTTTAAACTTAAAGAAAATCTTCATAAGGATCTAATTAGAATTATACTCAATGAAATGGACTTAACATCGATAAGTATCTCCGCACCTGTAAACTTCATAAGTGACTTTTGTGCTTGCACAATGCCCATTTTTATTACAGGTTGAATAGTCAAGTTGAAAAAATAATTCAAGATTTTAAAGCAATGAATTTAATTTGTGTAATAATTCAATCAAAACCTGTAATTGATTAGTATAGTGTGCTAACATTTTAATTTTGTTCCGTGATTTTAAAAATATCAGTAGCAGGTTATACATTGAACATGTAAGTAGTAATAAACCCGCATTGTATGTACGGAATCGAAAATTTAAGAACTTATATAACAATCTGCAGCTACATGTACTGAATATTAGAAATTTACCATGTAATTACACACTTTTATTTCCTAATTTAAACTGTTGAAATCATAACCGACACCATAGTTAAACATTAATTGTCTTATAATCGGCACTTAATAGGGCCTTTGAGCAGGGAGGGATCTTTTTTGTGCCAGCACCTAAAGCGACACAGGACTTTGTTTTATACGGTCTCATCGGAAGAACAGGTCCCCACGTCCCACACTGGGATTCGAAACCACGGCGTAAGGAGCTGATCCTTACCTCGCGACTATAGAGCAGTCTCTCTAATCACTGCATTATGCGGGCAACCTTGGGGGATATAAAATGAAAACAATGAAGAAAACGGTCATTTAAAAAAGGGGTCGTTTTGAAATATTATTCTTATGAACTTCAGGGCAAGTATGAAAAACCATATTTATGAAAGCTTCCTGATATAAAAAAAATTACTTTTTTTCAAATCATGACTAGAGTTGTCCCTTGCAAAGTGATTGTGTATTTTGGGGGGTACTTGGGATGGGACGGGAATGAAACGGTCTGTTTAACTGTCCATATGTCTGTCTGTCCCTGAAAGTTTTTCCCAGAAGGCCAGGCTATAACATAAAGAAACCAGAAGCTTGTACTCGATACAAAGATTTCAAATGATCCTAGGATGTGTCATTGTATTTATTCAAGGCAATATTACTGGAAATTCAAGATCACTGGAGAAAAAATTAATGTTTTGTTGCATTCATTTATATGTAATCGAGAATATCTGTAAGCTCATACTTGATACAGAGATTGCTTGTGATAAAAAGGTTTTTTTTTAAGATTTTGACTCAGAAAATAGTATTTTTTCATTCTGACCATATTTGTTTAAGTTCATACTTGATCAAATTGCTTATAGTCCGCCGGTTTTCAGATGACTTAAATAAGGTCATTCTAACAAATTCAGGGCCAATGACAGAAAAGTTGTAAAACACCTGTCAGAGTTATGAATTTCTAAAAAATGTTTCAGATTGAGGGTTTGTCTTGACAAAGAGCCAAGGTTATTCTGTTAAAATCAAGATCACTGACAGAAGAAATCTGTTCTCTTCCAGGTTATGAACTAGTAATTTACGTGAAAATCATTGGAGGCTCTTACTTGAAACATAGATTACTTATGATTGGAGGTTGTGTCATGTCATCCTGATCAAAGGTCTTTCTGGCAAATCAAGGTCACTGAGAGAGAAAAAATGTTTAAGCATAACTTTGTAATTAAGATTCACTGGAGGATCATGATGAGAAGAAAAGGTTGTTTACATAAGAAAGTGCAGTAACCTTTACCCAAGGTCGGTACTTCCTGTCCACAACTCCAGCGGAAGACCTACTCGTTGCTTTGCAACGAGCTCGGCTCTAGTTTCTTTTATTTCTTAATTTTGTTAGTATTTTTAAGCTGATACATTATGTATAACACACATGCATTTTATTGTAGAATCTTACCTATGCATTTTATTATATTGTGCTATAGGTTGTTGGACACATTAATCAAAAAATCATTTTAGTTTCTTTGATAGTTTAAAATAAAATTATTAGTTATATGTTTTTTGATGAACAAAGTCGATCAAATTTAAGACTGTGGTAGCCAAACATTATTCTAATTCACAAATGTAGGGAAAATGAAAATATTTTTAAAATATCCTGAGGAAAATAAATGTTTTAAAACTTAAAGAAAAGAAATACTATGTTTTGCGTATTCTTATTTGTTAATTGTTTTTACAGTTACAAGCACTCAGTTAACTAAATTGAATTTATATCGTGAATAACAATTTCAGTTTTTTGGTCAGACTTAATAAATATTTCTTTTAATATTTATATAAAATGTTGAATGAGCAAAGTATCTTAAGGATACAATTTTAAGTATCATATTTCTAAAAAAAAAATAAATAAATAAAAAATGAACATGTATACATGTACGTCAATATTTATCCTCAATTCTATGGCAGCAGACAGTACAGCAAAATAAACTGATAATAAATTTGACCCCCCCCCCCCCTAAAAGGAAAGAAAATTGATCATGCATTGATTGGTTATTATGTCTGATAGTGTCAAAGGGGCATAGAGGCCATACATATCCTGTTTACTACTTCCCATTTATGGCTTCTGTAATTATCACACGTGTATTCCCAGTCAACCATGCTCTGCTGACCACATATTTCATAAACACACATACCTTATAGATTAATTTTGTAATTTTCCAATTTAACTACTACACATTTATACATTAAACACAAAATTATTTAAAATTAAATAGTCTAGCACATTTGATTTTATATACTTAGTACAATGAAGTAAATATTATTTTATCTTGATTATCATGTTTATTTTTGATCACATAAAAATTATATCTGTTCAACATTATTTATAACAATAACCTTATATTATTTATAAAAAAGATATCTTAGACACATTAATTTTTGTTTAATTTATTCACATTAGAGTACGTATGAAATTATATACCAGGTCATTTATTTTTTTTTTAAAAGTGAAGGTATTTAATTAAGTTTACAATATCAAATACTCATTAAAACTAAATTTCAGGGTAATTCGTTAGAAATGCATATTATAAATCATTCAAATTTGTTTTATACATACTAGTAAAAATTATTCGATTATCTCTTGTCACTTATAATTATTACTTCGATCAAAAATGATTATTAAAGTAGTATAAAACAAAATATCAAAATCAAAAAATTAGGTCATTTCATTTTTTTTTCTTGAAATGCTGCAAATATTTAAGGTATCAATTAAATTACATGTACTAAATCATTTTGTTTATGGAAAGTTTATGGGATCACTTGACGCTTTTTTCACGGAAATATCAAGTTATTGGATGAGTGAAAAAATTGATCTGGTTATTTTAAAAATCCACAATCTGAATCAAATTGTTTTGAAAGATATTCAACAATCAAGTCAATTCAAAATATCAGGTGGTGGATTAGGAACCTATGTCAGGTCATTTCAAAATATCAGCTAGGTCATCAACTTTTTTTTTTTACTATTAAATATAATAAAATTCTTAAAATGATATTTCTTTAAAACTAAGTGTACATAAATGTACAATTAGTACACTGTAAGTACTAGTATGGAATCATCAAATATAATCAATAATATTCCCCCAATAATTTATCATCATATGCATGCTTCTTTGACATTATACGATATCAATATGCTTCTATGTATATATTGCCAGGCATTTTCTCAGAAATACACTAGATATATATATATATATATATAAATATATATATATATTAATATTAATATATCATATAAAAGATGGTTATATAACTTAAGATTTTCAAGCAACTAATTCTTAAAAAGTACACATTCATTACATTTACATGTAAATCAGGACAATGAGGGCATTCAGAAATCAGGGCATTATACCCCGTGTAAACTTTAAAAGTGATTTCGCTCAATAAATAATATATATTTTCCCCCAGACTTCATTAAACTACTTTATTATAGGTTTCTTAAAAGTAATTTAATCAAACTGTAAATTTTAATTTTATATTTAGTTGGTTTTATAAGAAGTTTTTATACTATCAGGTCATCAGGTCATTATACCCTAAAATCAGGACATTATACCCCTGTCAATTTTATCTATCAAATAAAACTTAATAAAAATAATTTTATTTTGCATTTTCTTCATGATCCTAATAGAACATGATAATATTCATAATTTTCAATAAAAATAATATTGTTTGTGCACAAAAAAACTATTTATTTCACTATATATGTGTAATCAGGTCAATCAGGGCATTATACTATCAGGGCTTTATACCCTTCCTGATACCTGGTAAGCAGATAGTAGGGTTATCGAAAACTAATATGGCCGACTCAGATTTGGCATTTAAAAGACTTCAGTAGAGCTTTAATAATGTCAACATGGCCATGGTCAAGGACGAATTATTCTGGAGAATACGCGTATTTTTGATATTTGTTGACTTCAACAACATTCAATGAGTCTTTTTAAATTTATTTATTGATTGTTTTGACAATTTAAGTTGGATTTTATCGCTATCCATCTTGTATACGTTTCTTTGCTGCATAAAGTATTCCTACGCCGTACAAAATAACGGATTGTATGGCGGCCTCAAAGAGAAATGATTTTAATAATTTTAAAAATTTAATTGGAATTATAAGAATTAAACGTTCTTTTTTCAGAATTTATCGATGTGCAAACTCTGCCTTTTTACTCACAAACTTTACATAAAAGTGCTTCGCACTTTTATTCAGTTTTTGAGTAAAAAGGCAGAGTTTACACTCGATAAATTCTGAAAAAAGAACGTTTAATCCTATAGTAAACAGTAAAACATCACCCTTGCATATTTCATTTTCCTTTCGGTCGTCTTAACCAGTTAAACAATAAGTTTGTCATAACGCAAGGATTTATCATTGATAGGGTTAAAGAGTGGAGTTAAAATTTTATGAACGTTCACATACGGATGCGAGATTTCTTTGCTTGAATTTGAATCAGAATAAAACAAATTTTAAACAAAACGAAAAGAAAGCATTGGAATAATTTGATTTTAATGAATGAAGGAGGAATTTTGTGTCTAAAATCATGTCTTTTAAATGATGTTTTCCCGTCAAGGTACAACAGAGTCGTATTGTGATGACTTGAAACACAAAGAACAACAAGGAGATTGTGAGCCAAATATTGAGAAGATTGATAAAGTGGTATCTTTGAATATATAGTATATTTAGAAATGCAGCTTGCTTTACAAATGTCAGTTTGCATAAAAACGTTTAAACGTAGAATAACTAATAATATCATTGCCTCAGTAAAATAAAAAAATAGACCAGTTTGATTTAAATCCTAGAATGAATCTAGAAAATAACTATAATAAAATTAAAGTCTCTGTATCTTTAAAAAAATAATCCAGGTTGATTCAGTTCTTAGAGGAAATCGGTCAAAGAAAAACATCGAACTGACAATTGAGACTGCACTACATAAATTACGAGATATTTCCATCAGTAAAGAACCTACTCCCAAGGATTTGGACACCTCAATAAACTTGTTAAATAAAATTGTGAATGTCTCTAGAGGATTGAATGTCTCAATTCCAAGGACGGTATTTTCATTTCTCATTTCGCTAATTAAAAATATATTATAAAATCCCCCCTTTATCTTGACATTTCCTCAGATTTTACACATTGATCACATTTAGGTGATTGTGGCGACAATTGACAACCTTCTTGCTGACAACCATACTGATGTATGGCAGAACACGTCCACAAAAAAGGTTATTATGATTTTTGTAAGTTAGGTTTAGTATGAAAATTTTCTAAACCTAACAAGCATTTTTTAAATGATTAACTTTAATATCCCTTCAACAGGCGAGTGAAAGAGTCAATAAGATGTTCAGACTGGTAGACAAGGTTGGCTTACATGTCTTAGAAACCATCAAGGAGAACGAAACCATTAAGTTTAACTCAACCAAAAACATAGGTAACACGCATAAAAAAAACCAGCAGTACAATGAGATGATTTTTTTTCTTTTATCATCGGCATAATGCTTCATTTCAGAGGTAAAATAAAAATAAATATTTTTATTTCTTTTAGTTTTTACAGTTGCAAAGATTCCAGCAAAACAAAGTGTTATTTTCCCGGAAAACAATAGCATCTTGGGTTCATCACTAGTATTTCCTGTGCAGAATCAACCCTTTAATCAAAGTAATATCAGAGCTTAAATATAGATTATCTAAACAATTCATTAGCTCCAAATTTTAATTTTTACTTTGACTGAATAATTTAATTCTATAATTTTTTCAAAATTTAGATATCGCGTATCTTGCGGTAAAATACAAAACCCTTGGAAACTTCATTAACGACAACAATAGGTAGGATTTTTTTTACAAACTGACACATGTTCAAGATATAACTTGTGATTTTGCTGAAAAAATGTTTATGATTAATCTTTTTTCAGACATAGAGAACATTCAGGATACAACATTTCTTCTGATATCATGTCATTAACGCTCCCTGACCCTTTATTTGGAGAAACACTAGACCCTTCATTGCATATAAAGTTCTTAACACACGGGGTAACTCCTAATAATGCATTTTCAAATAAAAAGATCCTTGATATCTAAGTTAAGATATTCAACTTTCAACTTTATTTTTATTTTTTTTATTTTAGAATTCCCAAAAATCGATCAGCGAATGTGTATTTTGGAACTTTGACCTCAAGTTAGTGTTGAATTTATGAAGAAAAAAATTAAACTGTTTATTGAAAGAACTAAAGATACATCAATATTATTGCACATAGAACCATACTCGAAATTGAGTCTGGTGAAATAAGAACCATAATATATTACAGTAACGGAACTGGTGGGTGGTCAACACGAGGATGCAAATTACTCTCTACAGATGATCTTTATCTTCACTGTGAATGCAATCATCTGACAAATTTTGCAGTACTGGTGCGACCATATTCAAGGGTAAATATTTATATCTGTATGATATATATATAGTTATTACATGACAGCTTAAAAACACTAATGAAACGATTCCTACATATAAAAATAACATCAGTTAACACATACCTCTTCTTAAATAATATCAAGTCGCAAATTCCTAATTCTTCAGATGCAAGAGGAAGATAAGGCGTTGAGTTGGATATCTATAATTGGTTGTTCAGTATCCGTGTTTCTCTCTTTGCTGACAGCCATAATTTACATTGTTCTTTGGAAGTAAGAAATAATAACAACTAAACTACTTTTACTTAAACATCTTGCTCTGCTTTTATTTTTCAATTATAATCATGCATGATCCAAAATAAAATCTTTCGTTTTTCCTTCTCTTGCAGATCTATTACATGTGACGTCAGCAGAATGGTAAATAAGATCACGGTGCTTCTGTGTCTTAGTATCGCCCTGGCGTACACGATATTTCTATTGGGAGTGGACAAGATCCAGTATAAGGTAATGACAAAAAGGATAAATTTATCAATACATTTATTATACCTCTACTGATTTTTCGCTTTATGTTCTTATTCGTGCCACTCAAACGAACATAAATAATTTATAAAATAAACACAAACACGTATATTAGGATGTGAAGCGCTCTGATAGTGCAGTTTACTTATAATACACAAATTGTTACAAATACATATCAATCTTCTTTAATTGTCTTCCTTTCTACAAAATAAAACAAGATTTTTAAATATAAAATCTTTTTAAAACATGTAAAGCAAGGGCGGGTGGGTGGGGATTCAGTTATCTGCACTAAAAAGAGCCTTTGAATGGCTTTAGAATATTCTGTGCTTACAGCGGTCAGTTAAAACCCGTGCAATGAATATTTAAATGTCACCTGACAAGGTGACCAGCATTACAGCCAATAGATTACAGATATAAATAAACACGAACACGTGTTATTAGCAACATTGATAAATACATTTATAAAATTAAGTGATTAGATCTGAAAAATTCCCTAGAAATTGCTGTGAATCGGCTAATCGTCGTGCGTTAGTTCTTTGAGCTAATCCCTCGGTCGAAAGCTAGTCATGCTAATTCGCGATTATAACTTTTCATTGTGACGTCATAATAGAGCGACGCAAAAACACAATGCTTTGCGACGTATTTCATAGAACAAAACACAACAAAATAAGACGTTAACAACAAACAGAATGCAATAATTGCATTAGAATTAGGGAGTAACTACCTTCTAATATGGTAGTTGCGACGAATAATGATTAGTTAATCTGGAAATGAATATTTGTTTTAAAAGGTGATCTTTAGAATTTAAAATTGTATCTGTATAATTAAACAGTTATAGTATATCATTGCGGGAGTTAGCAAGATTCCAGTTCCCCTCGACCAGAACTATCTCCCTTGGCGCGCTGCGCCGTGGAAAATAGTCCTGGTCTTGGGAAACTGGAATCTTGCTAGCTCTCTCAATGATATACTTTAACTGTATAATATTTTTTGTTATTGTTGTTTTTCAAATCAATTTACTCTCATATACGTTAAACATGCTTTAGGAAATGTACATTACATGAACGACGCCATGTTTGTTTTTTTTTTTAAAAACTTACTCGAAATAAACATAATCATAAAGATATTATTTTCTTTATATACCTTTCCTTTACCTTTTCTATATGACTCTCAGAATGGTTTGGAGGGTAGTGCCAAAAAAATTGAGTATTTTAATCAGTCAAAAGTGATTGTTTCTTAGGTAATAAGAAAAACTATTGATAAAATAAACCATGACTAAAATAATGCATTTTTATTTCATGGTTGGATTTTAGTATACAGTTAAAGGGAGTTAGCAAGATTCCAGGTCCCCAAGACCAGGACTATTTCCCGAGGCGCAGAGCGCCGAGGGAAATAGTGCTGGTCAAGGGGAACTGGAATCTTGCTAACTCCCTCAATGATATACTATAACTGTTTTATTATAGCGATACAAATTCAAATTGTAAAGATCACCTTTTAAAAAAATATTTTATTTTTCATTTACAGATTAACTAATTATTATTCGTCGTAAATACCAAATTAGAAGACAATTATTCCCTAATTCTAATGCAACTATCACATTCTGTTTGTTGTTTGCGTCTTATTTTGTTATATGAAACACGTCACGAAGCGTTGTGTTTTTGCGTCGCTCTATTATGACGTCACAATGAAAAACTAAAACCGCGAATTGGCATGACTAACTTTTGACCGAGGGATTAGCTCAAAAAACTAACGCACTGTGATTAGCCGATTCAGAGCGATTTTTAGGAAATTGTTCAGATCTAATCAGTTAATTTTATAAAGGGAAAAATCAGTAGAGGTATAATAACATCGTTTATAAACTGTTTCAATTGACTTTCAAAAAAAGAGGAAAAATGGTAAATGCAAATTGTGATGCCTCTGCTTTATGTTCCAGGTGGGATGTACTGTGATTACAGCATTGTTACATTTTCTGTTCCTTTTTATTTTCTTTCTGATGCTGGCCCTTGGGTTGTACTATTTCAGTAGCATTTCACTGATCAAAATATCGTTTTCAAAAGCAACAACATTTCAAAGTAAAGCTAATTTCTTCGGAAAAATCATCTGGGGAATTGCAACTGGTGGGTAAAACGTTATTTTGTCGATAGGAAGAAAACCAAATATTGTAATTGAAGATCTTTGAGTATGTTAATATAGAGATATAAATATAATTAATCTTACTTTATTTTAGTTTTTCCAGCGTTTATAACTGCAACAACATTTGGAGTTGTATATTCCTTGAACAAAGACTACCATTCAAAGACCAGGTAAAAGATTTATAAATTTATCTTTACAAATTTTTGTAACGTATTGAAAGCCATATTAATTGTCACAACGCTTTCTACAGTTGCTGGTTATCACTTGAAAGTGGGGCTTTATATGGCTTCGTTGGACCTGTAGCTTGCATCGTTCTGGTAGATATTTAATTTACTAAATTCAAATATTTTTTTAAATCTCATTTGATTTAAAGTATTATGGAGGTTATACAATGCTTAATTTTTGGTAAACCAAACCCCATGATAATGAGTTAATGATAAATTTCATTTATATTTATCGCTCCTGTGTTTTAAATTTATTTGCAAAGCGATGCTGTACTTTCTCATTTGAATAAGCGCTATAGCGCTAACTTGGTTATGCATGCTGATAGTGTTACTAGCTTCATTTTTTATTTTATATATTAATTTTTGTTACTAATTTTATTTATTTTAGATCAATATTGTCATTGTTATTATCCTCTCAGTGACTCTTTGCTCGGTTGGATTCACACCACAAGATAAGACGAGGAACAGGATATTGTAAGTCAGTTTGAATTTTAATTCATTTTAGCTCTGTCACTGATTTATATTGTATCGGTAAATTTTTAGCATGATAACTGTATGTTACGTGCATGTCATGCACGTGGTGCCTAATGTGTACTTAAATTGGGTAAATATTTAATGAGTTATTAATCAGTTAAGCAGTTTTGCAAGTAAATATATATACTAAATGAAAACATGGATTTTTAAGCAATGATTTGCTATGTTCCATGGACTAGTATTACTGAAAATTAGAAGTTTAAAAGGGCCTATTTTATAGATAATTAAAATGTATTGTTTCAGAGCCGGAATAAAGTCCATCTGTACCCTGTTGCCTGTTCTTGGGGTGACGTGGTTGTTTGGCCTCTTGTCGATTAATGAGGATGTGGTCGTCTTTCAGTATATATTTGCTTCGTTGAATTCCTTTCAGGTATTTTTTTTGAAATTGCAATATAATTTTTTTCGGGAAACATTAAATGTTTTGTAGCTGGATTGGAAATTTATTTCGGGAGCAAATATTTAGCATAAATTTCAACAATATATTTTTCTCTAACAGAATGGTTAACTTAATTTTTTTTACTTGTAAAATTATTCTACTTTTATTTGATAAAATTAATGAGCGTACTGTACTAGTTAACATGTAGTTCATAGCTAAATCATAAAATAATTAGATTCTCTTGTATTATATAATTTGTTCTCTTGTATGTTTTAAGGGGCTTTTCATTTTCATCTCCAAATGTCTATTAAGTAAAAAGGTAAGGGCAGTAAACAACAAAGAAATGGTGATATTTTTTATCATTTTTTCCCAATTCTTGTTAGCAAATACAATTTGCTGGATTAGCGAAAATAAAATTCTATGCTTCAGATCAAAAAGTCGCTTGGTGAGAGAATACAAAAGAAAGATTCAGAAAATTGGAGAAGTAGGCTTTTTACATTACTTAGCAGCAATCCACTGTCCATGAAAACAAAAGAATTTTCTTCATTGTCAAAAGTGAGTATTTTGTTAGATACAAGAGATAAAACAGATATAACTTTAGATCAATTCTATCTTATACAATCATGCATTTGATGTCATCGTCTATCATATTTTTGAAACGTAATGCATCAGATATTACCATTGATGTTTATTTCTATCTGATAAGGTAAACAATACAGAGAAATCAATTGTATGTGCTTTCAGTTGGAAGAGAATCAAGAAAATATAAGTAAGTTATTTCTTAAATGAGACGACATTTTAACATTAAAGTTTATTGATATTAAAGATCCAATCTGAAGAAGAAGGTTCTATGAAAGGAGTAAGCGAAGGGAATTGCATTAAGGTATCTTCTTAAACACATGATTTATCTTTTAATAACATCTTGGTTACTTCTATTAACCTACTTTAACTGTGGAAATTTGTAATTTTAATATTTTTTTTCACTGTATTTTGAATTAATAATTTAAAAATATAAAAGCAAAATTCAAATGTATACTATGAAAATAAATTTGATATTTCAGGGTATTTCTTTCAAGAGTAGACACAGCGCCGATATATCTCTAAAACAATTATAGACAATTGATTACAACATGAAAAGATTCCACTAATTAGAAAAAAAAATAAGGAGGATCCTTTGAAGAAACATTCATCACCAAAGCAGTGTAAAATAGACTTCATACATTGTCGACAACATCTGATGCTATCGTGAGCCTAGTGGAAGCTCATTTGTTTTTAAATCTGAACTCTGGGATTAACTCCCGTTCAAACTTGATCAAAGAAAGTGACAAGGGTTTCACGTCGCTGACAAAAGAAGTACAATTTATACATGAAAATCGCCTAATGAGCATAGGTTCCATGTACAGTATGCCACGACTAAATGACTCTGACTGCCAAGTATATGTCCAAATTGGAGCCCATGACGTTCAAATTCTCGCAATAATGTAAAACAACCAACAAACAATCAGTCAATTATTGTAACTTAGCAGTTTTAATATTTAAATTTTCAACACTCTTAATTCTTTAAAAATACGCTAACTTGATTTGTAAATATCTTTTTAGAAAGGTAATTTAAATCGATTAGTTGGCTACAATTAGTATTTATTTGGTATCATGTCATCATACATAAAACAAACACACATAATTATACATGATCTTATAAAAGATGGAAGTTGGTAATCAGGATTTTATAAATAAATAATTCAACATGACTAGATAGATACCAGGATAACCACCCATTGAAGCTCGAGAGCTTATTTCCAATGGGGTCCTATCTTAAATAACTTTTAAGAATAAATAACAATACATTGTAATAAGTATTCCATCATTATAGCACTATAATACTTTTGGCACAATTCTTTTAGCATATAAACATCTAAATTTAGTTTAAGTATGACAACATTGACATTATCAATAAAATGTAAAAAATATTTTATAAACTAGAAATGAAACATATCACTTTGATGTTCTAAAATGCCTTTTTTTAAGATAAAACTCTTGACTTGTTTCTTAAAAGTGCCCTTTCCTTTTGTACATTTAATAGAGGCTGGTAAAAAAAATCCAGTCCTTTATGCCATTATAATAAAAAGTGTCTGTTTGACATGTTTTCACATGAGGTATAAAAAAATCTTCATTAGTGGATGCTCTAGTGTTGCGTAATGACACAGTTGATCTTAGAGTAAAGTTTTCTGTGAAGTAAGATGGCGCATAGCCATAGTATATATTATATACATGGTTTAACCATAGTTGTCTTACCCGATCTTCTAGATTCAACAAATTCAAAGTACTAAGAACTTTATAGTTTATAGTATGCAAAGGGGATAGATTAAGTATAAATCTCACCATTTTGTTTTGGCATATTTGTAGTTTCTTTTTAAGGCTCTTTGATAAACCTGCATACCATGCGCAGCTGGCATAGTCTAAGTGACATTGTACAACAGCAGAGCATCATTGCATTTTACTTATTATATCTAAAAAAACGAGTATAAAAAATGCAACCTATTGTTAATTTTTTTAACAATGGACTCAATAATGAATTCGCCTCTCAAAAATTGATCAATAAAAATTCCTAAGTACCGTATAACTGGTTTTTAATGCGGGTGCAAATTTTTGCGATTTAATCCTGAAATAGGTATATTTATTTTTTGCGATTTTAATTTTTGCGATTTTACTTTGACAATAAAGTCTATTTTTATTGAATTTTATTACTAGACATTTAAACAGTAAAGTCTATTTTTATTTTTCATTGAACAAACCAAAGCAATTTAAAATACAGGTGATTCTCGATGGCTTGAACTCCGACCTCTCGAAGTGAACCTCCGGTCCCGTTTTTTCCTCTATATAACTAAGCAAATTTACTCCTGATCTCTGGGACTTCTATCTCTCAAAATTCTCTGTCTCTCGAACCAAAACCTGGGTCCCGTTACACATAGTTCATTGAATTTTACTCTCTATCTCTCTAAGTTTTGATTGCACTTGTATACACGCCAATCAAGCGTAAAATAGACAGTCTGGACTTACCTGGAAACAGTGAAGCTGTTAATTGGGTGATTACATAGATGACACTACACCTGTGTGTTGTTATAATTAATGGGTTATTATTCACAGGGTAAATTAGAAACAAAGTCACAATTATTTTGAATTGAAACCGAGACGATAATTCTTTGAAATTAATTTATAGAAGTTCGTTTCAGTAAGTTTCCATAGACTATGAACTTTCATTTATGATTATAAAGAGTTTATATAATCTCAGTAGGGGAAATATTACACAAGAAATTCTTTTCTCAAGGACAGAATACCGATTAAGAAAAATCTGGTAAACACTGGTGAAGGACCCGATCAAGCCGCGGAATAGCCAAACCGACAATTGCTATTCGGGTTTCATATAAATAAATCTTGAAATACAATGTAAAAACAAATAAATATTGAATCTTTAGGAATTCGTTTTATTTATTCGAAAAACAATCATTGCTGTTGATATCAAGTATATTACCTGTAAAATACGATTGAAAACGTGCAATGGCATTATTTACATATACTTCCGGTATCTGTAAAAGTAGAACCTCCATGATCGCAACTGAAAATTCCGGATTTTATTTACGTATTTTTTGCGATTGAATTTTTTGCGATTAAGACTTGATCGCAGAATTTCGCCAAAAATAGCACCCCGTAGAAAAATCCAGTTACACGGTATTTCACTTTTTCCATAGAATGAATAGTATGGCTATTGCACTCAATGTGAAAATCTTAAACATTAATTTGTAAGTTTCTTTCTTTTTCAAATAAAATACACTCAGTTTTTCCCAGGTGTAGTGATAACTTATTAACAACTAACCAGTTTGAATATTGTTTTAAAACAGTACTAACTTTTTCTGAAATATAATCTACATTTTTATGTGAAAATAAAATTGCACTAGCATCTGCATATAAAATAAGTTTGCAGTCAGGATCAATACTGAAAGCCATATCATTGATATAGATTAAAAATAAGTAGAGGGCCTAAAATACTGCCTTGAGGTACCCCACATTTTACTACATCTGGGTCAGACATAACATTTTCTAATTGTACAAATTGCTTTCTATTTGACAAATAAGATCCAAACCAGTCTGTATTACATAATCCAATGGCATTAAGTTTTCTACATAAAATTTCATGATCTACAGTATCAAAAGCCTTTTGAAAGTCGAGCATGACCATACCTGTATATAAACCCTTTGATGTATTTCATTTTATAAAATCATGCAAATGTATCAAAAAAGTTTCAGTAGAAAAATGTCCTCTAAAACCAGACTGAAATTCATACAAAATTTTATATTGATCTAAAAATTTGACAAGTTGTGTATGCACAGCTCTCTCTAAAACCTTGGAAACAATACTCAAAATACTAACAGGTCCGTAATTACCAACCTCAAGTGAACTACCTTTTTTATATAGAGGTTTGATTCTGGCTATTTTCATATCATCAGGAACAATACCAGAAGAGATAGACAGATTGATAATATATGTAATGGGTATTTGCAAAAAATTTGCTCCATCTCTAACAAATCTAGCTGGGATGTCATCAAGACCTGTACTTTTGTTGGGATTGAGTTTCAAAAGCTCGTTATAAATAAAATCCTCATGAACAGTTTTGAGTATAAAATTACAATTTTCAACGTTTTTCTTCTGATAAAATGATAAAAAGTTTACAGAGTATGTAGAAAAAAATTTAAACACTTTGGTAATTTCTGCACCAGTGTTGAAGCAACATTTGTAAAAAATTCATTAAAGTACTTACAAACAGTTTTGGGATCATGACAAACTTTATCCTTTAAATTTAAAGAAATCTTAATATCTTGATTTTGATTTGTCTTGAAACCGATATCCTTTAGGTGTTGCCAGATTTTTTTTGGATTGTCCTTATCCTCCTCAATTTTGTTGGAAAAATAATCAGACCTTGCTTTTTTAATTTCTCTTTGAGTCTTATTTCTTAACTCACAATAAAGTTTATAATGTCCTTTTTGTCCTGATTCAGGGCCTGGTCCCTTTCACTGATAAGGTCCAAAATTTGTTGCGTGATCCATGGCTCGGTGCGTTGCTAAGCCTGACTTCTTTTATGGGGGCAATTTCATCCAGAACTTTATTAAAAATTTTTTGGAAACTTTTCCACGATTCATTCACACAGTTTGAAAAGCATTGATTCCATTCTTCTTGTATTAATTTTTCTTGTAGAATTTCTGGACTGTAGTTCTTTAGTGATCTCAATTTTACAGTGTTATGATGTTTGAAGTGTCCTTTTGATATGCATCGAGAACAGTAAATAATGGAATGGTCGCTGAGTCCCGTAGATATTGTGTCAAACTGCATTAGGTTTCCTGTTCTGTTTGTTAAAATATGGTCAATTTTGTACTACTTGTTACGTCCGTGATTCTCGTAGGTTTATCTATTATCTGCTGTGGATCAAAAATATTCAGGATATGGACGAATGCTTTGTATAAAGGATGTGATGGCTTAAAATCAATTTTAAAATCACCAAAAATGTATGTTTCATATTCGGCTCTCAAGGATTGGAGACGGTTTTCAAAATGTTCCAAAAAGTCAAATTTGATTTGGTGGCCTATGGTATTCCAGTTTGGATAGGTTTTGTTTTTGGCAAGAATATGTTGATAAATACTGCTTCTAAGTTGTTTTGGTCAGGTAGTCGAGGAATGCATATTTATTTAATATGTAAAGACAAACTCCCCCTCCAGTTCGACACCGATATCTCCTAAGAATGGGATATCCATCTATGTTAATCTCACTGTCCAAAACCGATTCATCTAGCCGTGTTTCTGTAACTCCTATCACCAGACCAGAACTCCAAAAACGACGTTAACGGAAGTGAGAACTTCAGTCCAGAAAAGACTAAAAAAAAAAAAAAAAAAAAAAATTGGCAACGAGTCCACGCATGCGCAATTATATCAAAAAACGGTGAAAAATCGTGAAATGTGGGCTCTTATATATAAAAAGTGCTTTTGCAAAAAATTGGATTACCTTGCAATAATGTAAGTTCTCAGAAATGATTAATAATAAATGTTTTTAGAAAACGTATTTGTTAGAATTTTGATTTCATGTGCAAATAGTTTTTAATTTCAAGTCAAAGTTGACCAACTTCGAGCTTCAGCCAGACCTCGTTCAAATAGGATACAAAATACAAATTAAATAGTCTTAATCTTATGAAAACATCTCTGTGATTGATAATTTGTTTGCAGTGACTAAGTTAGTCATTTTAGAAATACTTTTACTAATTTTAAAAGTTTTTTTGTAAGTAAGGGACGCTGGCGAATTTTCAGTCGTTCGAATTTCCTCTGTCTTTCATGTATATCGTGTACGAAAGAATTCAGCATGTTTAGAGCAGCAATGAGCAACTGCATTGTAAATACATCTTACTAATAATAAAAAAAAATACTGAATTGATGGTTTTAATCATAAATAAGAGTCTATCAGGTGACAGTTACATGACAATCGCAACTTCTCGGGCCTTTCCGACTAGCGGAAAAACGATCGACCTCGAATGTATATAGAAGCCGCCATAACAACTCCCCCTTTACACCATTTTTGAAATAAATGCATGGGGACCTTTTATCTGTGGAATATGGAGATTATAACTTTATTCAATGTAATGATATTACCTAAAATATAATATACAAGGGACTTCTAACTCGTTGTTTCCTATATTTGAATAATCAGGAAATGTATAAATTTTTAACATCCGGTGATCTTAATACATTCGAGGTTGTTTTTCCGACCTCTGACGGAAAGACCCGAGATGATGCGATTGAGTTACATGACAATCCATTCAGTTTCCACATTTCCTCTTTTGTTTTTTGTTTTTTTTAAAGTTCACGTTTCAAGTTAGATCAATTACAAAGAAAAAAACGTTTGGGAATTAAATATATGATAAAAGGGAAAAATATGTAAAATTGAATAATAGCGAGCGCAGCGAGCGTCGCGAAGCGACGCTCGTCACTGCGAGCTCTTAAAGCAACGCCTGTGCGAAGAGAAAATTCGGACTACTGCACATTCATTCGATAGAATTTTTTGATGCCGTAATTTCGACCCACAATGCATCACTTGTTTTAGCTACGTTCGATCGCGAGAATAACGACAAATGTTTAACAAAAAGTTTACCCGCCTTGATTTTAATGGATATATAATGAAGATAAATAGAAAGGAAACGTTCTTCTTTAACTTTCTTCACTGTTCAGGCTTTTTCTTGGAATTGAACCTCACATACGACGTCATGTGACGTCAGAGTCTAGACGCACCAAATGTCACGTGCGGTTTGACGAGCCCGATCTAAATTTAAACAAGAATAGATATGGGTTACCCCATATCCAAAGATATTCGACTTTTAGATTTAATATGTTTAACAGTGTTTAATGACTTTTATATAAAAAAAAAAAAACTGCGCTGTCTTTACTCTTAGTGTCTATATATGAAACTGGTGTAATTAGTAAATTTCGTGAGTCCGTAGCATTACGGTCACCCAGTCTCATAACAAACAGTACACGTGTCCGCAAGACCAGTTAGCCTAGCTTGGTCTACACACGTGCGATG